AACTTTTATAAAAACACGACTAATAGTTAACCATTCCATCTACAATCCTGTTTGCCTTCATCAGAACCAACCGTTCCCTCTTGACTAGCTTTAGTCTACGGACGACTTCTGCCTCTTTTGCTCTCTTCGACCTTCACTCTTCGTCAACTTATTCTTCACGTAAAGCGTATACCACTAAAAGCAGAAAAATGGCACCCATCCCACCCCAAGGCCCCAATGGACGCAGTTCGCGCATGCATTCCAAAGTGGTATGGATTCTTTCGATTTTCACGCGACAGGATAGTGGCGAAGATCGCTGACGATGCATCACGCGAACAGGTCATTATTGGCTCTGGACCAGCTGGTCACACGGCTGCTATCTACCTTGCACGAGCGAATCTGAATCCAGTCATGTTTGAAGGTTTCCTGGCCAATGGTTTTGCTGCCGGTGGCCAACTCACCACTACCACCGATGGTACGTCTTGTCACCCAAATCCTATCCTCCATATTCAGCTGAGATATTCTCTACAGTCGAGAACTATCCCGGATTTCCGGATGGTGTTCGTGGCCCAGAGATGATGGAGAAATTCCGCGCACAGTCCATCCGATTTGGTACCACCATCATTACCGAAACTATCTCGCGTATCGATCTCTCCCAACGCCCATTCAGATATTGGCGAGAGGGACAGGAAGAGCTAGAACCCGATACCTCTGATGCCGTGATCATTGCGACTGGTGCGAGTGCCAAGCGGTTGAGCTTGCCCGGAGAAGATACCTATTGGCAGAGCGGCATTAGTGCTTGCGCGGTTTGTGATGGTGCAGTGCCAATCTTCCGGTGAGTCTATGCTATAAACAAGAGATACAAATGCTCATAAATGCACAGGAATAAACCCCTTGCCGTGATTGGAGGAGGTGATTCCGCGGCAGAAGAAGCTCTCTGTATGTATTTCGGCCTATATATCAGCCCAAAGCTAAACTCGTCTCTAGATTTGACGAAATATGGTTCTAAGGTCTTCGTCCTTGTCCGAAGGGATGAGCTTCGAGCCAGTAAAATCATGGCCAAGCGACTAATGTCGCATCCTAAAGTTGTACGTATTCGACTTCAAATTCTTTGTGTGTCGCTTATTGACTAGTCTATGCTTAGGAAATTCTATGGAACACAGTTGCAACTGAAGCGTGCGGAGATGGTGATCTACTTCAGAACCTTACCATCAAGAATATCAAGACTGGGGAAGCATCTTCATTACCCGTTAACGGCTTGTTCTATGCTATAGGTGCGCGATGATCTCTCAAATAAGTTCTCAATGAATTACGCGACTGACATTCAAACTTTCATTTGACAGGCCATGAACCCGCCACTGCTCTTGTACGTGGCCAAGTAGATACAGACTCGGACGGATATATCGTCACCATACCCGGGACCACACAGACCAACATCAAGGGTGTCTTTGCTGCCGGTGATGTCCAGGACAAGAGATACCGACAAGCTATCACCTCTGCTGGAAGTGGTACGTCTATTTTCTAACCTCAAATTCCGTATAACATTATTCTGTTCAATTTTTACTGATTATATTACTCCTTATAGGGTGTATGGCCGCTTTGGAGGCTGAGCGACTGCTGGCCGAAGAGGAAGACGAGTCACATGGCCAGGGGGACCATTGACTAGAAGTAGATAAGCCAAGGATGTAACTTAATGGAGTGTGACAATAGGAAACCTCAAGTACTAGATGATGTCGTTTATGAATGATATTTAAATTCGTCCTTTGGGCGAAAGGTCACTATCTTGAATGCATTGCAGACGTTTGATTCGTTCATTTGCTAGCAATTTAACTTTCACACCTTAAACCCAACGCAAATACAAGCGAATGTGACATTTTATTTTCTGGAGTTGACCATTTACAAAATAAACAAAAGGAAAGGAAGGATAAGGAAGGTATACGGTCATGGATAGCACAATTTCCACAGACAGTGATGATGTTTCATCCCGGAACCCAACACCCGAACACATAAGAACCCTTGAGCGAGAGAGCTAGAGAAAGAGTTGGACTAAGCGAGCGTATATTTGTGTACAGGCGTTAGGATTCAATTTCTTTCGTCTTTCTTTTTTACTTCCAGGTGCTGGTCAAGGTGGTGGTAGAGCCAGCAGCACCAGAGGTGCCAGAGCGGTTGGATCCGCTCTCCCAGGTAACGGCACCGTTGTAGATGCGGATGAACTTGTACTCGAAGGAGGTGTTGGCGGGCACGCTCACAGAGATGGACCAGACGGGGTAGGTGCCAGTGTTGTCGAGAGGGCCAAGAGGGCTGCTGGTAGACCAGTTCTTGAGGGCGTCGATGCTACCGGTCAAGTAGATGTTCTCTGCATTACCACAATCAGTAAATCGTTTAACAATAACAAGCTAAGAAATGCTCACCTCCCCAAACGGTGGTCGCGGTAACCTTGAAAGTGACTGTGGCGCCACTTCCACCTCCACCGGTGCTGCAAGTGCTGGGAAGAGACAAAGAGGCAGCACCCCAGCTCTTGACAGTGGTACGGGCGCGGGCATCAAACATGGTGAGAGCGGCAGCATAGCTCCAAGTCAAATCGGCAGCCGAGGTCGGGACACCGGACGACTTGATGTACTGCTCAGAGAGGGCACCAGTGGAAGGGGTGTATTGGGCAGCGACGAGAGCGAATTGGTCAGCGTACGTGAGGATGGAGGATGTGATGCTGGTGTACTTGGCGGAGCCAGCAGCAATGGTACCGGTGGTGATGGTCGAGTCGAATTGCTGGAAGAAGGGAAGAGAGATGGAGGTCACATTGATGCCTTGGCCGAGAGTATCCCAGACTTGGAGAGCGCGGTAGAGTTGTTCAGAGACGGCAAAGGTGGTGAGGTACCATGGCTAATTAAAAGTCGGGGTGAGTATTAGATTTCATGAGAGTAAAGGGAGGACATACGTTTCCACCGTAGTAAGAGTCTTCGGGGTAACGACCAGTAGCAATACCAGCGTTGCTAGCGATACCGCTGTTGATGGAGTAGATGGAGCGGAAAGAATCGACATAAACCTTCAAGTTGGCGAGAGACTTGTCAGAGCAAGGTTGGAAGGTCTTGGAGTCACAGCCAGCAGCAGGATCGAAAGTGTGGATCGAGGTGAGGACAGTGTTGCAATCCTTGCCGCTGCGGATAGCACCATTACCGGGGTTGACGTTGGCGACGATAAATCCAGAGGAAGAAGACCAGTAGCTTTGAAGGAAGCAGAAGATATTGCTCGCCTGGGTGGTCCAGGTCGAGACGGTGCTGGATGGGTCGCCGAGAGTGGTAGCGAGAGCAATTCCCTCACGGAGAGCACGGTGTTGTACGGCAGTCGTGAAGAAAGAGGCACCATTAACCTAAATGATTACATTATTAGGTCATATGATAGAAGGAAAAGACAAAAATGCGTACTTCTTCCCAGAGATCGAAACCAGTGCTGTTCCAGTTGCTCGAGACGTAGTTGAGGTCAAGGAGAATGAATGGCCAGAGGGTGTTCCTAACGTAGGTCGTGTTTGACTGGGAGATGAGATGGTTGGCGAAAGCGATCATCGAAGTGGCACGCAGAGCAGGTCCATCACGCTGAGGGCGACCCCAACCACCTATACGGGAGAAAAATCGTGTTTAGTCACAAATTCTACTATGATAGAAAAGCTGGCAAGGGAGTGGATACTCACCGGTGAAAGCAGCTTCGGAGATAAGGAATTTGGGTTCGCCGAGACCACCAGAAGACACGGTTCCGGAAGGATTGGAAACTTGCTGAACACGGCCCATACTAGCGACCCAGTTGTTAATCGTGGTAAGGAGAGAATTGTCACTCCCGGCAATATAACGATCGATGATGTACTTGGCGACTAGAGAGCTGTCTCGGATCCACATGTATAAATAATCGGGGTTGGCTATTGTGCGGAAGCAAAGCATATTAGAAGGAGTACGTATAAGTTATAGATAAAACCGCAACTTACAAGTCGAGGGGGATGCGATAATGATACCCGACTTTGCACCCTGAGACTTGCTACCAGAAGGCCCAATGTTGGCCAACAGACCAGACAAAGCAATGGGGTACTCGAATGTTGCAAAGTCAGCGACGGAGGTATAGCTAAGACGCTTGTCGAGAGTGTTATCCCAAGGAGTGGACCCAGCCGGGGTGGCATGGGCGTTGTGCTGCAAGAACACCACACAGGTGATTGCTAGCGAGACTAGCGTGGACAGGAAATTGGTACGCATCGTAGACCACAGTGATGACAATAGCGATGACAACGATGTGGTGCGGTGGTTTGGAAGGAGAGTGGTGGTGCGACTGCTGGACTTGTTGGAAGGAGACGAAGGAGAGGGATGAAAGAGGAGACGAAGAGGCCTCTGGTAGAAGGGAGGAGAGGTCGTGGAGATGAAGCTGCTTTTATAGCTTCTGGGATTCGCAGCAGCACGACCAGTTTGAGTAGCAGCATCATCAACAGTGTCGGCTTGTGCTCGTTCTTGCGCGGCTGCTCGACGCTGCCCTGAATCGTTCTGGATTGAATGTTGGATGAATGGCAACTCTTTCTCCCTGCTGAATGACATTCCCGGCTAGACAAGGATCAAAACGAATCAGAGAGAGCTCAAGCAGCGCGGAGGCCATCACACTTGATGCTTCGCCGTCACTCGGTACACAAGGATCACATGTCCTTCTCAATCTACGGGACAGACCGGGATCCAAGAAAAAGTCGAGAGAGACCAAAAAATCATAGAAAAATCAGCGTGGAGTTATTTTCTCCGAATGATAGGTGATTGACAGTTCGACTAGAGCAGGGGCAGGAGGCAAGGGGTGCACAGGGGTTGGATACCGATGGCCAAGCCACCAGACATGATAATCAACCCTTGGGCTGTCTTGCATTATTAACGACGAGTGTTGGGGATTATGGGCTACATTTTCGTGGAATGCGGAGATATGATCCTTGCGAGACACCCCACGCCCCCTTCCCCAGAGAACGACATTCACGAGCTTCTTTAGGAGTCTAGTTCAGAGATGCCTCGTAAAACTTTCCCAAAAGGGTCAATATCCAGCGCTTGCTCTCGATGACGACCAGCCTGAAGGGTGATTCGCAAGAATTCCCTGAGATCCCGACTAAAACACAACTCCTTCTCTGTCATTCTCGACGCCTCAGCCTTGAACAGCCAAGGTACCCGTATCGTGCCATTGACACTCTTCTTCTCCGGCACAGTGAGGGACGTTCGAATCAGGTTCTCTCGCTATCCTCCCCCAATCACAAACTCGGCGGGGCTCCAAGTCTAACTGGGGTCACCATTTAGATCATTATGAATGGCACGTTTCACCATGAAATCAGGAATTGGAAGGCACAATCGTGACTGATATTCTATACAAGAGTGGCATATTGCTATATCGCTAGCTTTAGACAAAACCTGTAGCTGACTTTTGCGTGGCCTTTCGGATGCAATTACATCTTAAACACAGGAGATAACCAGCTCACCTCGGGCGGAGACCACACACCGCCGTGGCCGACTGTCCGCTACGACTTTTGGATAGCTTCCCATAGAGCCCTGAACCCTTTCTCAAACTCCTCTGTAGAGAACTCGCGGCTCTTTCTCCTTGCCCGATCACGCATCGCCATCGACTCGTTCTGAGAAAGGGAGAGCGCTGCATAGAGCTGTGAGGCAAACTCCTCTGCCGTTGTTGCTAGAAAACCTGTCATAAGCGGTAAAAGCCGTCATTGAAAAGAGAAAATAAATGTCAGTCTCGTTTCATTGTCACTGACACGTAAATAGTGGTGTGTAAAGATAGTTTCCTGTGTGATGAGAACCCGTATGGCTGCCGGAGACCCAATGGGTCGGCAACAAAAAAAAACGACTTCGGATTAATGTACGCCGACCCAATCGTTGACCACGCCGCGGTTTCACAGGTGATCTATTTCGAAGTGCCTGAGCGGCTCCGGTAAGATCGGGGCCCTGCATCACTACCACCTTTCCTCTGGGATTGGCCGCCTACGGAAACGACACGGAAAGGGTAAGAGGAAACGAGGTGAGCTCACCAGTAGGTTTACCATCTAATGGCGTCACAATGTCCATGATCGGGCCCCCCGAGGCATGCACAACGGGAATCAAACCAGCTCCCTGTCGAAGGAAAAGTGAGGAACAAGGAGGTTAGCATTGATAATGTGGGCTAGATATTTAGTGTAGAAATGTTTTAACAGGGATCCGCAGCCCTAGAATACGTGGGGTGTACCGGGGAGAAAATAGATTTTTAGGGGAGCTCCAATGGGAGACTAGCGGGGTAAGGGGGATCAGAGTTGATGTGGCCAATAGCGAGTGGGTGTAGGGTGATTTAGGGTGGCT